AGGTTCAAATGTAGATATGATAGAGCCCAGTAGGCTCAGGAATCTGTACACCAGTTGATTGACGGTTGAGAGGCGGGACCAAAGAGCCAGAGCTCAAACCCCGCAAGCACTACTGGGTGAATACAACTAGGTAAATACACACACACACACGAGCCAGCATATTGTGATATCTCATTAGTGACCAGCCAAAATTAATTCATCAGAAAAACATTTCTAATGCTTTGCTATAAAATGTTTGTGGCGTTACAACATTACCAGAGAGAGTGGACAAGCTGGAGAGGCACTGAAACTGGGAGAAACATGAAACTGTGAGAAACAGGAACCTGGAGAATCTGGGGGAAACAGGAAACTGGAGAATCTGGGGGAAACAGGAACCTGGAGAATCTGGGGGAAACAGGAAACTGGAAGAAACTTGTGCTGAAACTGAGGCTCAGAGCTAGAAAAGGCCAAAGTGTTGCACTAATAAATTCAAAACTAATTGCACTTATTATTTTAAATTATGGGCAAAACCCTGGGCGTAATTAGTAGGTTTATATAATATACAGTTACACCACCTACCACAGTAGCCTCTGTTACACCACCTACCACAGTAGCCTCTGTTACACCACCTACCACAGTAGCCTCTGTTACACCACCTACCACAGTAGCCTCTTGTTACACCACCTACCACAGTAGCCTCTGTTACACCACCTACCACAGTAGCCTCTGTTACACCACCTACCACAGTAGCCTCTGTTACACCACCTACCACAGTAGCCTCTTGTTACACCACCTACCACAGTAGCCTCTTGTTACACCACCTACCACAGTAGCCTCTGTTACACCACCTACCACAGTAGTCTCTTGTTACACCACCTACCACAGTAGCCTCTTGTTACACCACCTACCACAGTAGCCTCTTGTTACACCACCTACCACAGTAGCCTCTGTTACACCACCTACCACAGTAGCCTCTTGTTACACCACCTACCACAGTAGCCTCTGTTACACCACCTACCACAGTAGCCTCTGTTACATGCTCCTCTGTGCATCTTTATATAATATATTACTGTTGTTGTTATTGTTATTATCATTGTTATTATTGTTATTAATGTTAATAATATTATTATTGTTTTGTTATTGTTATTATTATTGTAATTATTGTTACCAACAACGAAACTTCATCTACTAAAATACCCAAGACAATAACTGGATCATCAACCGCTCTTATACTTTCATTACAAACACCATTTATCGCCCAAAACAATAACAAACTATTAATTTATCTTCAAACAAAAAAAGGCTACAATGTAATAAACGGTTTAGCAAATATTATTTATTTATTTTTCACACAGACCTAAAACATTAGTTTATTTTTTCACACAGACCTAAAATATTAGTTTATTTTTTCACACAGACCTAAAACATTAGTTTATTTTTTCACACAGATCTAAAACATTAGTTTATTTTTTCACACAGACCTAAAACATTAGTTTATTTTTTCACACAGACCTAAAACATTAGTTTATTTTTTCACACAGACCTAAAATATTAGTTTATATTTTCACACAGATCTAAAACATTAGTTTATTTTTTCACACAGATCTAAAACATTAGTTTATTTTTTCACACAGACCTAAAACATTAGTTTATTTTTTCACACAGACCTAAAACATTAGTTTATTTTTTTACAGAGACCTAAAACATTAGTTTATTTTTTTTACACAGACCTAAAATATTAGTTTATTTTTTTCACACAGACCTAAAATATTAGTTTATTTTTTTCACACAGATCTAAAATATTAGTTTATTTTTTCACACAGACCTAAAATATTGGTTTATTTTTCTCACGCAGACCTAAAACATTAGATTATCCTATTGGCATATAAACCACATTTTCTGTAGTACACAAAAGGGGCACAGACCAACCGACCATGAACCTGCCCTTGGGCCAGATTCACGAAAGCACTTACGCAAGCACTTACGAACCTGTACATCTTTTCTCACTCTTTGGCGGCTTTGTTTCCAATTATTAAACAGTTAAAGAGCTCCGAAGCAACAGGGACCTGTTTATAACAATAACAACAGTTGAATGGGAAGTTTTCATGCTTGTAAACTGTTTAATAAATGTAAGCAAAGCCGTCAAAGATTGAGGAAATATGTACACGTTCGTAAGTGCTTGCGTAAGTGAATCGTGAATCTGGCCCTAGCAAGGTAACTTTGGGAGCACTTAATACCTATTTAAATGTAATTAGCATAATGAGAGATTTTATCGAATTAAACAAAAGTTTTTCAGAGATATTTCCCCCATCGAGCTAATGACGGAAATTTAATGAAATCCGATCACCATGAAGTGGGCATTCAGTCAGGAAATTTTTATATTTTCTGTTCAGCTCTATTATGAAATTCTAAAACGTGATTTGCCAATGCGGATTTTTTATATAATAATTACAATGTAAATTAATTGGTCGGTTTATATTTTATTATTTATTTAAACGATTCCTTGTGGAAAAAATTCAAAGCCGTGTTTTATTTGTTTGTTTGTGATGGTGGTCAAGGCCGAGTGAGTCGTTCGTGTGTACTGGTGGTCAAGGGCGAGTGAGTCGTTCGTGTGTACTTGTGGTCAAGGGCGGGTGAGTCGTTCGTGTGTACTGGTGGTCAAGGGCGAGTGAGTCGTTCGTGTGTACTGGTGGTCAAGGGCGAGTGAGTCGTTCGTGTGTACTAGTGGTCAAGGGGGAAATCGTCCTCTCTCTCTCTCAAGAGATAGTGGATATTATTCTTATATAATTATAATATATATGTATATATATATATATATATATATATATATATATATATATATATATATATATATATATATATATATATATATATATATATATATATATATATATATATATATATATATATTTCCAGCTGTATTTTAAAACCCAATAGAATTTTGGCATTTACGGCTTCAGCGGGTAGGCGGTTCTCTATGCCTATCCGCCTAGTGCATATAGAGAGGCAGGGATCAGCAGCCTACACTGGAATACTGAATGTGTACCATAAGTCTTTGCCAATCTTATGTGTTACCTTTAGAAAGGAGATAATGCAGAGTAATAGTGTAAATGCGCTAGGAAATTACTTTTGTAAATTATGTGTTAGCTACTTGATACATATGCCAGAGTATACTGGCCTTGATACATATGCTAGAGTATACTGGCCTTGATACATATGCCAGAGTATACTGACCTTGATACATATGCCAGAGTATACTGACCTTGATACATATGCCAGAGTATACTGACCTTGATACATATGCCAGAGTATACTGACCTTGCCATTATTTCACCACACTTTTATTCATGTGCAATTGATGTTCTCAGGCGGATTTGTAATATTGAAGGTTTTCTAATGATGAACAGTAAACAAGTGCATGATGTTATACTACCAAATATAGTTCTTAGAGTAGAGGCTTTTGAATTTGATTTTTGAATTTTGAGGCATATCCACTCTTTAGCTGGCAAGTAATATGAGCAAACAAACCTTCATGTTAATTAAATGTATTGCCCCAAAACAACGTGAGCTATTGTATCACTATATTCATGAGACCCTTCCTACTAATGATAGGTTGTTGATGTACCAATGTACTGAAATTGAGAATAATATGCATATATTTTATTTCTGTAGGCAGAAAGTTGTTCTTGTAAACTGGATTAGAGACACTCTTAAAGCTTTATGTGGACCAAGTATTAGAGTGGAGTTAATAAGGTTTTTAATGTTTCATATTGACATAAAATGGAAGAAAATTAAGAATACAATAATTATGTTACTTTCTGATTACATTTTTTGTGTGTGGATAGGAAGGCAGGAGGGTTACTGTGTGTCGATAGGCAGGCAGGAGGTTTACTCAGTAAACAAAATATTGAAGTTCTTGTGAGGCAGGATCAGGTATAACATTTGGGGTTTATGGCTCATGTTTGTTGATGATATGGAAAATTTGTTTACTGAGAATTATATAAAATATATATAAATGTAATAATTTCCCCTGTAAATTAATGTAAATATAATCTCCAATTTTGTAAATCATTTAAAGAAAAATAAGTATACCATTTAGGGGTTTTAAAGATCATGTTCTGTGATAATGAAACACTTGTTTACTGAGAATTATACTACTGTATATGTAATGTAGTATTACCTTGTAAAACTTATGTATATATGATTTATATTGTATTTTCTTAAATAAAGATAAAAAAAGTCTTTGTTCCATGATGATATCCTTAACAGTAGATAAAAAATAAAAAAGTAATTGCATAACTCCAGTTACCTAATGCCAGCATGCCATAAAAACTTATCATAATGTGGATTTGTGGATCAGTGTTTAAAAGGGAGTTCGGAAGTAATAATAATACAGCTTATGCCATCTGTTGACATCAAATTAAACTATCAAGACGCCACCCTTCAAAATGCAGCTGTTAGCTCGACATAGCACTATCAATAGCCGAGCAGCAGCCCATAAGGCGGGTTGTTGGGCTGAGGCAGCTAAAGGCTCCACACCCATTTATAATAATAATAATAATAATAATAATTTGTTTAGGAAAAGTACATACATAGTTGCAGAATTACAGTACAAATATTCTGTTTGATTTAAAGATAGAGGTAGTACATACAATACCTAAATAAATCAATTTAATAAATCATCTTTGTTCATAACACCAGCCCTGCTTATGACATTCTGTTTCAACTTTAATCTACCCAAAAAGTGAAGTGTTAATTATTTAAAAGCTTTAATAAAGTGATAACTAAATATTGCAGCATGTAACAGACATTAAGATCGATCGTAGGTGAACAGAGGTATTAGGTGAAATGTAAAATGCTGAACCGTTCCTGTCCTGTCCTCAGGATATAACTGCCCACTTCGAGTCTGAGCCGAGCACGTAGACCACTGTGCTACCGAATCCCTAATATAGCCTGAACTTTAATATAAATGATTAATATTTTAATCTAATAGAGAGAGAGATTGCTTGGACTTGACCGACCTTCCTGGGAGCGGTGAGCGTGCCGTCAACGTCAAATAAGAGTATCATCCCAGGATTTCTGGCCATTTTGGACAAGTGTTTGACGGACCTGAAGACCGCCACGTTGGTCCTGACGCGGCAGGTCACCTCGTACACCCCAGGCTTCGTACACCCCAATGTTAAACGGGTACACTTCGTACACAGGACGGCGCGCCACACAAAATAAATAAAATGTTTACTCAAGTAAAAGTACAATACTGTATGTACTTTTGGGCATGTTTTTTAAATTGATAAAAGCCAAAAAGTGTATACATACACTCTGGCTTCCTGTCCCCCGACATGCCAAAGCTCAACTAGGCGAGTACAATGAATTATTATATATACGAAACGCGCAAGTTTTGTGTCCGAAATGGTAAAAATATGTGCCCGAAACGCTGTGCGTATTAGTGGCTTTAGGCATAGTATGTACTAACTTTGTCTAGAAATCTACACATTGTGTGTGTAACTAATATTGTATATATGTATTGTACTTTTACTTGAATAAATATTTTATTTATTTTGTGGCGCGCGCCGTCCTGTGTACGAAGTGACTAGTAATAGTTTAACATGGGGTGTACGAGGTGACCTGCCGCGTCAGGACCAACGTGGCGGTCTTCAGGTCCGTCAAACACTTGTCCAAAATGGCCAGAAATCCTGGGATGATACTCTTATTTGACGTTGACGGCACGCTCACCGCCCCCAGGAAGGTCGGTCAAGTCCAAGCAATCTCTCTCTATTAGATTAAAATATTAATAATTTATATTAAAGTTTCAGGCTATATTAGGGGTTTCGGTAGCACAGTGGTCTACGTGCTCGGCTCAGACTCGAAGTGGGCAGTTCAATCCTCAGGACAGGACAGGAACGGTTGAGCACGTTACATTTCACCTAATACTCCTGTTCACCTACGAGTTAGACAATTTTGGGGTTGCATCCTGGGGGTAGGTCAGTAGTTAAGCCTATAGAATAGGGGGGGGGGACTCGATAAGCTCAAGCTAGGCTTTCTGTCCCCGACAATGGGAATTAATATAGTGGCGGAAAGTAAATTATATATATATATATAATATATGTATATATATAATATATATGTATATGTACTGTATATTATTGTCTACTTTCTCGAGGATGTCTTTATATTGTGTAATAATTAAGGTTGGCATTCTGTTCAGTAGACAAGGTTCAGGGTTTAATTTTTGCTTTATTTATGTATACAAGAGTTTTTATGTTGTTGTAAAGCACACATATAGCGTTTTGGGCAGGTAATACGTAATAATAAGAAAAGTTACGTGGGTAAGGTTCAGTTGGTAAAGTTCGATAGGTGAGGTTTGGTACACAAGGTTCAGTTGGTAAAGTTCGATAGGTGAGGTTTAGTACACAAGATTCGGTTGGTAAAGTTCGATAGGTAAGGTTCAGTACACAAGTTTCGGTTGGTTAAAGTTCGTTAGGTGAGGTTTGGTACACAAGGTTCGGTTGTTAAAGTTCGATGGGTGAGGTTTAGTACACAAGATTCGGTTGGTAAAGTTCGATAGGCAAGGTTTGGTACACAAGGTTCTGTTGGTCAGGCTTGGTTAGGTTTGTGCGTATTGTGCCTAATTGGTTAGATCTTGTATGCAGGATTAATTATTGCATAACAATTGCCTGAAGCACACTGCATATTAATGGCTCTATGTAGTGTAGATTTCATATCCATGATTTCTCTTAATGTTTCATGTATCAAATGTATGCGCTTTTCCATGTGATTTAAAACCTGATTTTCCTAACAATTTTGTGAAAAATTTATATTTACCTGAGAGCCACTATCACTAGTGGCCTCGACGAGGACAGGAAGCTGGCGGCTTGTCATATGTCCCCCATTTGCCCTGATCTTTTCCAGATGGATTTGGAAAAGATCAGGGTAGGCAGTTCCATGGGTTAATAACCCTATGGGTGGAAGAACATCTCTTCTCAGTCTTACATTGAAGCTTGTTGAGCTTGAAACCGTTGCTCCTTGTTTGTGTTACATCTGACCCTTTGAGGAAAATGTCTGCATCAACATCCAACTTGTTCAGTAGTTTAAAAGTTTCGATAAGATCTGCGCTGTGGATCCGTCTTATATGCAGGCCCCCTATAAATGGGCCTGATGGCTTAGTGGGCAGTGCTCGGGATTTGCAGTCCTCAGGTTCCGCATTTGATCCCCGCCGGAGGCGGAAACAAATGGGCAGAGTTTCTTTCTTCCTGATGCACCTGTTCACCTAGCAGTAAATAAGTACCTGGGAGTTAGACAGCTGCTATGGGCTGCTTCCTGGGTGATGCATAACAAAAAGGAGGCCTGGTCAAGGACCGGGCTGCGGGGACGCTAAGCCTCGAAATCATCTCAAGATATCTATAAAATGTTAATAAAAATGTTCACAAACTAAAATTTTACTCACACCAATATTCCATAATACAGTATTTTACAGTGCAACAAATTAGACAAGTTAGCGAGTCTTGACAAAATTCACCAATAAACTATGACCAGGATTGTTTCTGGAGCAAAGTGAATTACGTACAAATATTGCACATAATCACTTAAATTTTGTTCAAAATATGGCTGCTCTAACCTTGTCATTTGTATACTTTTCTCAAAGCTGTCACATACCAAATGAGAGTCTTCTCATGTACTGTAGCCGATTGTCTGTAAGCCAGTCAAAGTTATCACAGCAAACTGTTGGGATATACAGTAGTAATAATGTACTTGTATTGTACTCTTATAACGAGCTAAAATCAAATTAATAGCCAACACCATCTCGATGGTGGTTCAAATTAGAAACTTCTAAGTTGCCAGCACAACTGACCTCTGTTGGTACAGTTGACTAGAGTGCATCTCGGAACATCCAGCGCATAGGTTCGAACCCTCATCAAGGCCTTTGTGGATTTGTTCATTTCATATATCACGTTATTATGATTTCTGTGTATTGAAGTAAGGTTTAAAGGAAGTCAGAGGTAGAACTATTTGGTTGACAGAGCCCGAGTGCATGGGGAAATTGTGTGAAACCCTGGTTATGCTTCAGTGGAATGTTGAAGATCCTTGTTGGGGCAGTAGCACTCCAGGTTGCAATTCTTTTACCATGTCATGGTACAGTTGACTAGAGCCCATCTGGGAACATCCAGGGCATAGGTTCAACCCCTCATCAGGGCCCTTGTGGATTTGTTCATTTGATATATACTGTATCACGTTATTATGGCTTTTGTTTGTATGGACCTCTAAGCTGTTTTTTTTTTAGGGTGATTGTGAATATGCTAATATAGCTACACATCCATTAATTCTTTGGGACACCATTCTCTAGCAGCAATGTAAAGGGTACACTTAACCCTTCTCTGCCCACAATCTAAATTTGTCTCTAGTATGTATATGCATAAACAAAAAACCTGATCCTTTTCAGATAATCAGTGATGATATGTATGAGTTTATGACACAAGTGAAGGATAAAGCAGTATGTGGTCTGGTGGGAGGCTCAGATTTGAAGAAAATTGCAGAGCAAATTGGTGGTATGGATGGTAAGTGTGTACTGTAGACCCATTCATTGATATGATGATGAGCTTTTTAATGACCTAAATATGAAATATTTTGTGTACTTCTGTATGTATTTTAGAAATATTTTCATCGCACATACAGTACAGTACTAGCAGAAAAGAAGCATTTTGTTGGAGATTTCTTGTAATGGGCATTTATTTTCATGGTAAATCAGTGCAGTTGAGTAATGTATATTACAAAATTTAAAGTTATATATTTGTTTTTATATTCTGTGCAGTACATTATAGTCCCCCATTTTCCACTTTCATTGGATAGGGAATGTTTTAGTATTTTATACAAAACACAATAAATTACTGTATTAGTGTAAGTTCATGCTTAACAACATGTAATATCTGAAACCAAACCTAAGCATTTTTATATATATTATTTAATTTTGTTGTATGATGAGTATCCCCTCCAAAATTTTGACAATATAACGTAATTCACGGATAATCGGGATTACCCAGGTACTCTATGGAGGCATTTCACTATTCATGATCAAATATTTCAGAATTTTCTTATAGCAAATGTATTATTATTTTATTATTATTATAGTATCAAAATAGTATAGCATAGTATTATTTATAGCAATATATATGTAATCAAAATGTGTTTGACATTCTACTTAATTTTTTTATATTTCAAGTTTCAATTGTGTTGGTAAATAATATGCTCTTTATTTACAAGGAAATTGAAATAAAACACTAATATAACTTTTCCTCTGATAATTACTTTCATTGATAAAGATATATTTTGTAGATGTCTTAAAAAAAAGTTTGAATGGTTATTAGTTTTATTTATTCTCACCTTGCACTTATTTTCTTTTACAGCACTAATGAAATTTGAATATGTTTTTGCTGAGAATGGTCTAGTGGCTTATCAGAATGGTAAACTTATCAGTAAAGAGGTGAGCCCATATGTTTCTCAGAGTTCTGATGGTGATTTTGAAACGTGTATGATAATTTGTCTTGATTTATTAGATATCTGAGCCTTGAAATATCCTGCTGCTCCTAGAAGTAGTATATTGATCCATTACTCCTCCTTACGCTGAATGGACAGTCAGACAGGAATAACACAACAACAATAATCTCATTTGCAGATGTAGTCTCAATAACGTTCCTGAAAAATGTTGATGAACCCACACTAGAAAGTGAAGAGACGACGACGTTTCGGTCCATCCTGGACCATTATCACAATCGACTTGATAATGGTCCAGGACGGACCGAAACATCGTCGTCTCTACACTTTCTAATGTGTGGGTTGTCAACAATAATCTCATTCTCTGTGGTACCACTTTATGGGGCTTAGGAGTTACTGGAGTTGATGCCAAATCGGCCAGAATAAAAACGACAACTCTTGCAATATGATCACCAGTGGTTTATTCAATCTAGCCTAACAACCAATCAAATTACATGAAGAGTTAATGGGCATGGATCTTGAGTTTTCCTTGTTTACATCAATACTGTACTTGCATCTGAGGGTTTCATCTTTTTCAACCTTGGCCTTTTCCACCTTTTCAGCCAACCACCCTTTTTTTCAATTTTGTCATCTTCTGAGCCTTGGTAGTCCATTTTAGTTTCACTCCAGTGGCATTACCTGGTCTCCCTTCCCTCCCTTAATTTAATACAAAGGCAAAACTTGTCTTGAAAATTATCAACTTGAGAAAGGGAAATGAGTATCAGTCAGATCAAGAAAAGGCTCCATGTTTTGGTTTTCAGAAGACTGAAGTTCAAAGGTGTGTAAGAAAACAGGTTAGTACAGTACTAAAGTTATGCAGGATGCCTAGCAACAGCCTTCCGCCTTATCCTTGGTATGGTAACCAGTCATTAGTCTACTGTTTGGACAATAGTGGCATTCTATCTAGCAGGGAAGTTTTATAATGCAAGGCTTGCCCATGGTTGACTTTTCATTCTCCATTTTGGTGGCAAAAATAGGAATGTTAGGGTTAGTTGTAAGGCTTTATGACTGACTACTGCGGCTGACTATTGGGGCATTAGTCTGTTTACTTAATTTTGGGCCTAATAACGTCTTTATAACCAGCATTTGGTTATAAAGACATGCTACTGTGTCTAGTAAAAATCCAGGTGTTTTGTTTATAAATGTACTTGAAGTTTTGAATTAAATTTGTCCTTATTTAAAACCAAAAAAAAAAGAGAAATTAAAAATGAATTATAATGGATGTTTTAAGTCAGTGCAATAGAGAACTTTTAGATGCAGTGTGTCACTGCTATCGCTTTCTGCATTTGCCCTATTGGAATATTAATTGTTTATACCCATGGCCATGTGACAGTTGCAGTGTGTGAGGGGAGGGGGGCTGGGTTCTACCCTCTCTCTGACATTGTGTCTCGGTGTTCCTTATGAGGCAGCAGTAAAAGTGCAGGCATAGGCACAGGAATATTTTCATTTGGCAGTCTCAGTTTCTGGGATGGTTTCCTGACATTCAAGATTTTGATAATCACCTGCGATATTCACTTACAAGCAACTTTTGTCACTTCTGGTGTAGTAGTGAGTAGTTCTTCAATGGTCTGCTTCATCCAGGGAACTTACTATCCTATCTGGGCTCACTAAATTCTAAACTTCTCAAAGATTTTTAACAGTTTTGGGTTGAACAAATGCAGGGAAATAGTGTGTCCAGCCCACAGCTAATTTTTTTTTAGCCCATTTCTTTACTAAGAATGAAACGACACTTAATCTACTGTGGATCGACAGTTCCTCCTGGAGCATCATAATATCTTGCTCAGAGAGGAGCTTTTCACAGTGTCAGTCCACATTTTTTAGATTTTTAACATTAATAACTACGGTATCTCTTTGACATAACTGAAAATTGAGGGTAATTTCACATGTAACTGTCTTGTTCTGTAAGATATTAGATGAGACTATTGGCTTCTCATTCTTTCACACCTGTACATGTCCTGCATTTTTTTTTCAAACTTATTTCCAGAAAATATATTTAATGATTGATATAAATGCATGTTATCATATAATAGATGCAGTTTTGTATGTTTCATCAACTCTTCATTTAGGATGTAAAGTAAATGAACATTAAGTGTTGTGTGACAGGTAATTAATAGACATTGACTAATTAAATTTTACAGAGTATTCAAAACCACATGGGAGAAGAGAAGCTCCAAGAGTTCATTAACTTTTCGCTGCGATACATGTCTGATATTACCCTGCCTGTGAAACGTGGAACATTCATTGAATTCCGCAATGGTCTCATCAACGTTTGTCCAGTTGGACGAAGTTGTTCACAGGAAGAACGCGACCAGTTTGGTGAATATGATAAAGTAAGCAATTGTTTATGTACACAGTACAGTGGTGCTTCAGTTTTCGTATTTAATCTGTTCCCAGAGACGGTACAAAACCGAAAAATACAAAAACCAAAACAAATTTTTCCATGAGAAATAATGTAAATTGAATTAATAATTTCCAAACCCCCAAATATATTAACTAAAAAAAAATTATTTTATATGAAATAATACTCTTTGGTACCTTACCTTTATAGATGACTCTTGTTGGCATATGGAAGACAGTGAGGAAGGTGGAGGATGAGGAGAGGTGTTAGTGTTTGGAAGGAGAGTCCCCCTTCCATTATAACAGCAGTGATGACATTTCTGGGGTTCTCTCTCATACGTTTTGAAGGCATACCAGTAAGACCTAGTTGTGGCTCACTGCTTGCTTGTCTTACTAAGACTCAGTCCATAGACACTTGTTTTTCCTTCCGTTTTAACACTTTGTCTGTAGTGAGACATCACATTGTCTCACTATGAATGATCTCTTGTTTTTCCTCTATCATCATCCTCACAACTATTTTCTTAGGTTGAACATTACCACTGACTTTCTTGGAACCCATGGCATGATATATAATAAGAACTTTTATGTTCAGAAACCAAAAAAAGCACAAAAACAATGAAATTCTTCACAAAGAATTCAAACGCAATCATCACTAGGCAGGAGACACTTGTAAACTGAAGTGCCACGTGCTCAGTGAACCTGTACGTGTATAAACAAACTCCGAAAACTGAGGCAAACAACGAGTACCGAATCAAATTTTTTGAAGAAATTGAGTACGAGAACTGAAAAATACGAAAACAGGGGCATACGAAAACCGAGGTTCCACTGTATTTTGGAATTTCAATATATCCTGAAACTGTAAATTTCTATTCACTCTTATTTGAAGCTATTGTTTAAAATAAAATACTGTATAGCTGGTTTCCTTTTGAGCGTGTTGTGCTCAGAATGGATACTCTGTACAATATACTCAGGTCTCAATACTTTCATAGTCTGCCCCTTAGCCTCACACCCTACCATAAACTTTCCGGGCCTCTCAAATTCCCCCCTCAATGTTGCCTGAAATGTTTATTCTCCATGTTTTCTTTAAAAAAAATATAGGTGATGAGGTGCACATGATACACTTATATAAGTGTAAAAATTAAATAGTAAGTAACTTTCATACTTTTTCCATAAGATAATTTGAACACCAAAGATAAGTTTCGTACAAGCAGAACAATTATTGTCTTGAGTGATGGGGTGGTTGGCTAAGGGGATTTCTTTGTGGTCCCCTGATAAGCTCTGCCCACGTACAAAAGATTTGTAGAAAATCAAGAATTTTGGGAGGTATGAGAGTGTCATTGTACCTAATTTGAAAATGTTTATACTGTATATAGCTGGTTTTGATTTTAAAAATTATATCCTTAATTGGAGGTCAAAAGTTTCTCCCAGTGGAGATGCTACAATTGTTATTCTGAGAATGAATATTAGACCATATCTCCTTAAATATTAATTTAATTGAGTTTTCACAAAATAATTTTTGTTTAAGCCAAAGGAAGTGTTTTGGACATTTGGAAAATCATTGAACTTGGTTTGAAAAAGACTGTATGTCTGGTTATCATTTATAGAATTACAAATTCCACTCATTCTGGATTGAACTTGGATTTTTCCTTTGTGTAGACTATTTTTCAGTAGGAACATATAGTATTTTCAATTATATAAGGGAAGTCTATGCAAAAATACGGTTTGATAGGCAAAATCCTATTAAATGACTTTCCAGGAAAGTAATTGTTTGATGCTATATTTCGAGGAACACTGAAATGTGTCAAAATTAATCCTAAACTTTACCAGTTCTTTAAAAAGTTATGAATAATAAGACTATCAGTAAAGGCATTAACAGTTATTGTGTAAATTTAACCCCCATTATATTAGTTGACATCTGTCTTAATGCTGAAGTCTTAAATAATTTTAGTTAAATGAGTTATGATTTAACTAGGTAAATTCATACCATTCATATTTTTAACAAATGAATATATAGTATATGTTAATCAACGTGTTAATATTTATAGTATTTTTCTGTGGGGAGCTCCTACGGCTCCCTGGAGCTTACCGGGCTGATATGTAAGTATTAGACCGTGGCATCAGTTGATTGGAATTCTTTTGCCTACCGGAGACCATGAACCAGAACCTGGCCTCCCCTCAGAGAGGCTAAGGAAGCAATGGCCTATGGAAACCCCCATGTGTTAGGAAACATTCCATATCTGCCATTGACTGGGGTTGGCACCAAGAAAGGGATGTGTAACAAAACAAACCCCACACGGTAAAAATTGCTACCTATAAGCAGAACAGGGAGGCAGAACTCTCAAACTAAAACAAGCAAACGTCACTAATGCCGTCGCATAGATCTTCCGCGCAAAAGTACAAAGCTAGTAAAAGGCATCCATCAGTCTCAGGAGACTATGGAGTTGCACTCTGGTTCTCGGCCTGGAGTGGCCTCTGCAGGGCGCAAAGCCAGGGTAGGTTGATACGGAGGAGAAGCTGTTACCCATGCAGCAGGTTTCCTCCCCCTCTCCACTACGCCTAAAGTCTCCATTGGAAAAGCAAATGCCAATACAATTGGTTCCAGGGCCGTTACAGGAACTGTGAGCTCCGGAGTTGACCTCGAAGTTGATGAAAAAGTCACAGGGATTCCAAACCCGGAGACCGCCGTGGTCGTGGCCGGAGAAGAACCGCCTCATCAAGCATAGGAACGACCCCGGCTTCCTGAAGCAGAGCCCGAGCCGCACGAGCCCCGGGAGGTGGAGGTCCCGGTCCCACACCTACAGGTTCCAGACAGAGTATTATAGGTTATGTCTAATTGTTCACTTCTATAATTCTTGCTTATGAAATGTACTGTAAAGTTTCATAGGTACAATAGTATTATTTCCCTTCCTCATATCCTGGACATAGGCAGTTAGTTAATCAGTTTATTCAGCAGTAAGCTGGTTTGGGACTGGGGGCTGGAAGGTGATGTGTAACTGCCTCAGTTGCTACAGGTACACAAATCTCATATTGTAGACGTTATGTAAGTTGGAAGTGCCTTGTTCCTAATGAATTGTGGGCTCTGGCTTAAATGATAATTAAATTCCTGAAAGGTAGTTTGCTTTGGTCGTATTCCTCATGTTCTCACTTGTATACTTTATAATATCAGTTAATTATTTGTTTGGAAAGTTTTATTGAGTTAATTGAGTGTGTTGTATTGTATTAGTCAATTACTGTATACGTACAGTATGCCTTTTATATTTTTTCAGGAGCACCATGTCCGAGAAAAGTTTGTGAAAGCTTTAGAGGCAGAGTTTCCTGATTCTGGTTTAGTTTTCTCTATAGGTAAGTCATTTATGAATACATCATTCATAATATATTTGAATACTAGAACATAAAGTAAATGGTAAGATCATTCGTTCCTCTGCATGTCTGTATGTTACAGTGGAATCTGCTCTAGAGCTGAGAGTTTACTGGAAATCCAGTTGTAACAAGGATTCCATTTTGGAATGTATGAGTGTTGTGATCAGCTGGGATGTAATGCTGTATAACGGAATATTTGTGGCAGAGCAAGTCTATGCCTTCATAAATATTTGTTCAAAAATTTTAAAATAAATTTCAGAAGTTATTTTAATTATATTTTTCAAGTGTAACACGATAGGAGGGTGTCACTGAAAGGAATGAATGTCATGGAGATGAGTGCAAAAGTTGAGAAACTGCAAAATTGAAGGGATTGTAATGACAATTTATGGATGCTGAGCGAATGAATGATGATAGATGTGGAAGAAAGTGTTAGGTAATTTGAGGGGGAGGAGGTAGAGAGGAAGGCCAGGAAGATGATGGAAGGACTAATAATTGAGAGTGAGGTAACAGGAATTGTGTGTGAACATCACACAGGTCATGGCAAGGAACAAATTCAGCTGCAATAGTTTATAAGGAGGGAGCAAATGTGTTTGCACTGTACAATATATAATTCACAAGGATCAGTATACATCTTGTCTTATGAACCTGTGGGCAGCTTCCGTAGGTGATTGCTGTGGGGGGGGTGGTAATGCTTGGTTGTTTGTAATGCATTACTGTTCAGTGTGAGAGCGTCTTTTGTTTATCATTGTACATACTTTATATACAAGTTAAAGTATTATTATCATTTCTATATTATATTATTATCATTTCATAAAGTATATATCATTTCTTTCCAGCTGTCTAACAAAAATGTGTTCTTAATTTGTATTCTGTAGGTCTCCCTCCTGATGTGGATTGGCACAATATTAAGTTCATTTTGATTAGGAAATTATACAAATACAATATAGTCATTTTTTATCCTTTGATTTTATTGAATTTGTCTGCAAATATTTACTCACTAATTCAATTTTATATTTGTCAGGTGGTCAGATTAGCTTTGACGTGTTTCCAAAAGGTTGGGACAAGACTTACTGTTTACGCTTTGTGGAAAAGGATTTCAATGTAAGTTTATTTGACATATGATTAATTTATGCTTGAGAATAACACACTTTTAGCATAACCAAATCTAACCTAACCATGAATACTGAGTAGATAATAGCACTAATTACATAGTGGTTTTGAAGTGATTAACTCGAAGGTTTAAATTCCCTCATACACACATCATTATAAAAAAAATTTAAAGAACATGTGCAAGTAAAACTTAGATTCGTCTTTTTTAATAATCTGCAATATTTTTCTGCTCAAAAGACTAGTTTTAGTGTTTATAATAGTTTTTGAGATGTGATACTTTTACATATAAAACACATCATCTCCATTTTAAATTGTTTAAAATGTAAAATAAGTTTAAATTTAACTCATTCCTTTCAGATAATATACACTGCATCCTCAGAAATCCATATACAGTACTAGACCCAATTCAAATTATTTAATACAGATTTCTGAGAATTGCCTAATTTTACCACTTATCACAAAATTAAACAAAAAATTCGGGACTTTCTTATAGCATTTATACATATTTAGACAAATATAAACAGTGATTTTTGCAGGAGGTTTGTATTAGTATAATGTACAGTACAGGTATAAATATACTAAAAATATTTTGCTTTTTCGTAGTAGAGGGTAATATTTTGATCCCCCAGTGGTGCAAAAATGTTGTGCTGTACAGTACAAAACAATACTTATATAGTACAGTACAATACTAGACCTTTTAATATCTTTGCTGTAAATGTAACCCCACTTAAAACCGTTTTCCACTTGGATTTAATTTCATAGATGCTAACTGCTGTCTCTGAAATAACCACGCACTAATCCACCGTAGGGGTAACCCCCACCAACAGCATGGGTCTCTTAATTTGTTTAATGTTTCTCATGAGTCACAGTATCAAAGGGTTTACTAAAGTCAAGGTATAGAATGCTACAATCCTTGTTGCTGTCAATTGCTTGAAATAAACCGGAAAATAATGGGTGTAAATTAGTTAAGCATGAGTGGCCCTCATTAAAAACCATGCTGTAAACCCTTTATTAATCTGTTTTTTCAAGCTGAAAAGAAATGACTTTTGAGAAGCCATTTGATGTGATGTGAGATGACTTTCATGATTATAGATTAAAGACATTTTACTACAATAGATGATAAGCTAATTGAATGATAGTTTGACACGTGTGATCTTTATTAAAAATCACGACCACATTGACAACCCTCCATGACTTCAGTACTGTGCTTGACTCTATTGATTTATTAAATGTGCAAGACAATGGCTCACTAAGCTCTTTACATTAGTTTTAGAATCCTGGCAAATACTTCATTTGACCCTGGGGACATGCTGGGTTTTTAATTTTTGTTTGCTTAATATTTCCTCTTTGGTATCATTAAACTAGTCAACTTGTCTTCTACACCACATTCTTATATAGATTTTTTTCAACTGTAGCCATAATATCAAGTTCTTCTCTAGTAAATACAAAGTATTTATTCAAAATGCTACTCATTTCAGTTACCTGACCTGTCACAGTTTTCAGTGGCCCAATCTTCTCCATAATTTCTTTGTGCTGCATCTGAAAGACTTTTGTGTTTGTCTTTTCCTGCTCTGCTATACCTCAGAATTTCTTTTAGCTTTTCACTTTTCTTTTTTAACATTTCTGATTAGTATATAATAAATAACTATATAACTGTGTAAAATAATAAATATATAACTGAAAACTCCACATCCCAGAAGTGACTCGAACCCATACTGCCAGGAGCACTATGCAACTGGTGTACAGGAGACCTTAACCACTCGACTATCAGTGACCATACAAAAGATGATGGTAGCCGAGGCTATTTGCCCATCATCCCAACGTCACTTTGATGGTAATCTTGGGCATAGTTATTTTATCAAATTATCTCACTTTGTGGGGCCATGTGAGCAACACAAATGCGAACAAGCCTGAATGGTCCCCAGGCATATATGCAACTGAAAACTCCACACCCCAGAAGTGACTCGAACCCATACTGCCGGGAGCACTATGCAACTGGAAACTACTTTGTTTTTAAACGTAGCTCTCCTCCTCTAACTCCATTTTGGTAATTACAATTGCTCTTGACTATTCTCTTTCAGAGATCCTTCTTTCGTTGGCTTCCTTGGTGATCAGCTCTTTGCCCAGCCTAAAGTACTGAGATAAACTTCAAACTTGACTTTAACTGTGGATATCCTTAATTCATTTATCGACACAAGTCATAAGATCACTGGATTTCGTAGTCAGTAGTGTTGCTTCCTCCTCTTTCTCCTGATCCTCCTTTCCTTCTTGTACCTCACCAGTACATCTCTGTACACACTCGTGTTCAGAGATGTACTCTGAACCTTTCTATCTTTTTATTAGCATCTTTTTCTAACCAGTCTACATTATCCTGCTTGTATAAATCCTTACTAATCTGTCTGAAAATGTCATGGACTTGTAATAAGATCCCTCAAAACACGCAGTCATAGCTCGGTTGATTAAGGCAGCATCTGGGATGCTCCAGGACGCAGGTTCGAATCCCCGTCATGGCTCTTGTAGATTTGTTCAAGATCCCTCAAAGCTTAAGCCATCCTATTCATCCTCATTAACTGGAATGGTTAGGATTTTCTTTCAAACATTCTTCAAAAGTAAATTTCTTAACCTTACTCCAAACATCCAACGACTTTAGGAAAGACATGGGGAAATACTGGTTCGGTAACAGGGGGTGTTGATTTGTGGAACCAATTACCACATAACATGGTGGAGGTGGGGGTCCCTTGATTGTTTCAAATGTGGGTTGGACATGTATATGAATGGGATTGGGTGGTTATAATTAAGAGCTGCCTCGTATGGGCTAATAGGCCCTCTGCAGTTACCTTTTTTCTTATGTACTTCCCATTTAATTTGTTGCAGTCATCTACCATTCTGCTAAAGAGAACGTTGTAATTTTTTGGCAACTTTGTTTCCTTAGCTTGTGTACATATTTGTGTGTTGTAAACATAGGTCACCTGCATGTCATTTTATAACCTGACCACAAAGCTTTGGATTTCAGTCCGAATCAAATGATGCTCAAACTCTGCCACGCTTTTGCACAAGTTATCCAGAGATTAGAGTTACTCTGAGGTCTGAATCAGTGAGCGGTCACTGTAATTGTTTGCAACCAGTTTGTTTCCAAGCTATGACATATCGTGTCTGAATTTCTTATTACACATATTAAAAATCAATCAAATGTGATGTTTGGGAATATTGTACAGTATTGGTATCATACGTATCTTTTTCTAAATGTTTTGTAATAAGAAGATGTATTTTGATTACCTCTTTTAATATAGGTAATTTGTCCTGCAGCAAATGTAACTTGGCGTGCAGTAATTTGAAAACTGGATTGAATTAGTTAATACATATTAGTTAAGCTTAAAGCTCTGTCAGTGTGGGCTAATATTAAGCATTGTAAAGGAATTTTTTGTTATCTCATCTTTCATTTTGTTCTTCCAACAGACCATTCACTTCTTTGGGGACAAGACCGATAAAGGTGGTAATGACCACGAGATTTATAGCGATCCTCGTACTATCAGCCACAAAGTTACTTCTCCTGACGACACCAAAACCCAGCTTAGGGAACTTTTGGGCCTTTAGCCAAAAATGTGCCTTGGATCTTAGCTTCCAACACATACGATGTACAGTACCGTACTTACATAAACCTATGTTACAGAGCATCGTTTGGTCTGTGTCTTACCCTTGTTTTTTGCTGCCAATAGCTCTAAAGACGGTTAAATACAGTACTGTACTTTCTCTGTGACACTGAAAAAATACAGTACTGTACAAACCCTATGCCTTATTCCTGTATTTCAACCTTAGTCCCATATTTCAACCTTAGTCCCATATTTCAACCTTAGTCCCATATTTCAACCTAGGTCCCATATTTCAACCTTAGTCCCATATTTCAACCTTAGTCCCATATTTCAACCTTAGTCCCATATTTCAACCTTAGTCCCATATTTCAACCTTAGTCCCATATTTCAATCTTAGTCCCATATTGTAACCTTTGTCCCATACTTCTACCTTATTCCCATACATTACCTTATTCCCATACATCTGCCTTATTCCTATAGATCTGCCTTATTCCCACATTTTTGCATTATTCCCATACTTCTGCCTTATTCTCATAATCTACCTTATTCTCATTCTACCTTATTCCCAAACTTCTGCTTTATTTCAAACTTTTCAGTAAGTGTATGTTGTTGTTTTAGATTTAGCTACTCAGAACAAAATGTCCATGTAGCACGGGCTATGGTGAGCCCGTCTAGTTAGAGTACCTCTACCTTATTAATATACCCTACCTTCTCAGCTTTCACCTCACTCTTTCCTTATAAGTTGTCTTTCTCTACATCTCTTTTTGTAACACACGAGTTGATAATGGTCGAGGATGGACCTAAATGTCATCAAATCCTTTGTTTTCTGAGGCATGGGTTGGGTGTCTAATTCTCAGCCATGATACTGTGACTTATTATCTGCACAATATTGTAGTTTGTGTTTAGAGTTCTTAGTGATATATACAGATCTATATACTGTATAACATTACACTGTTGATATACACCATGTATATAATGTTACACTGTTGTTCATTCACATGTAATTTATTTATTTATATTTTTACAAATATTGAAAAATAATCGTTTGACAGGTACCCTCACCCTAAGTACTGTATGTATTAGCATTAAAAGTTTTAGCTTCTTCTAGCTGTATTAAAATGTATTGTTACCTTTGATAATCTGTGTACTGTGGTAATTATTGCTGGCCATCTTCAAAAGTCTCCACTCACCCCTGACTAAGATTGTTAACTGCTATTTTTTTATGGGAGTACTGTAACACAAATGCAGGCATATCATGTTATTAAAACTGCAGCAGTGACTCAAAAATTTATTTCCATGGGTAATTTATCAACCCAGTTTAAGATGGAAGGATAACATGATATAACAGGAATTAAAACCGGAAATGACTAAACATTTTTTTGTTTAAGGAGATCAGAGATCTACTTACTGTGACATATACTCGACCAGCAGATAATAACAAACAATGGAGAAATAGTTGTGGAACATTACTGTGTCGGATAGTAAATATTCGAATCACACTCGGACGTTCAAACATATTATTACAGTATATAAAATTACACTTAATAACAGCACAACAAAAAGAAATGACAAGCAGGGAGGGGCTGTTCGGTATATACAATTTCAACAATCAAATTATTAACTGGAAAAAATTAACGGAAGTTAACAAATATCTCACAGGCCATGGAGTTTCTTAGTCCTATTGGGGACAAAAGCCAAAACCCGGCCCTCCCTCACAGAGGCGCCAGGAACAGTGACATTTTGCCACCACATCGTACTGTGTACTCACAGTACACAGTACTGTGCACTGTTTGTGAGTACATCGGAAAAGGAATCTAGGAAATAAGCAAGTCAAACCAGAACACAGTTGGGGTAAATAGCATGCATAGCATTTTAGGCAGGAAGGAAGGGATCTTAACATAGTAAAGTAACAATCCACATTAGCTCCGGACCTCCACCTGATGAAAAGAACATTGAAGCCTTGCAAATGCTCTTCATTGTTGAAAAATTGAACATCTTTATGTGTGTGGCATAACAATGCACATCATAACTATCACACCAATGAAACCATGTAGCAGATTGATAGAAAAAAATCTATAATAAGAATCTACCCCCCAAAAGACCATGATGGGGGGGGTGCAACAAAATAATTATTATTTTATCGTAGTTTGCGTTTCATAATTATTAACGTTTTCTTTCATAAACGTTTACCTGTGAAGGACGTAAATTAGTATTTGGTAAACTAAAGTAAAAATATGTCAATGCATCCGGCTTTTATTGTTTCATATAATTTATAATAATAATTGATTGTGTCAGGGGACAGGCAGCCAGTATATACATACAGTACATGTTAGGATTATATCAAGGTGTCTTATCCCTTCCCGTCAGGGTTGAATTACTAACAGTCTCTGAATTTACAGTCTCCGTGGTGTAGTGGTAAGACACTCGCCTGGCGTTCCGCGAGCGCTATGTCATGGGTTCGTATCCTGGCCGGGGAGGATTTACTGGGCGCAATTCCTTAACTGTAGCCTCTGTTTAACGCAACAGTAAAATGTGTACTTGGATGAAAAAAACGATTCTTCGCGGCGGGGGATCGTATTCCAGGGACCTGCCCGAAACGCTACGCGTACTAGTGGCTCTACAAGAATGTAACAACTCTTGTATATATCTCAAAAAAAAAAAAAAAATCTCAAAAAAACCCTCCCCGGGATTCAACCCCACAACAAGTAAAGTTAATTTTATTCAGGAAAGTACATGCATAGTTGATTTACAAACATAATGGATTTATAGATAGAGCTAGTACATACAATACCTAAAGCCATTAGTACGCATAGCGTTTTGGGCAGGTCCTTAATCCTAATATTCTCCGGAATACGACTCGCCAAATCCTTTAACAACAAGATATCCATTTTACTGATGGGTAAACAGAGGCTACAGTTCAGGATTGGCGCCCAGTAAATCCTCCCCGGCCAGGATACGAACCCAGGCCAACATTACAATCGCGAAACGCCAGGCGAGTGTCCTACCACTACGCCAAAGGGGACTGCACGGAGACATAATCAAGAATTATGATTGTCTTGCTTTTCTGATATCCCTTGGAGCCACGTGTCCCTCGATAGCATCCTTCGGTGATCCAATGCCTCAGACACAGGCTGATCGGGGTCGGCCACTTTGCCCCCCTTTTAAGAAATACCAGAATTGGTGGCTAGTGGCTCTGCCTTCGGCTGAAGGCAGGGCCAGGCAGTGTGATGAAGACTGAAACCTGGCGTTTGATTTCCGTAGAGTTGTGCAGTTAAAAAATTTGGGGGAAAACTGGAAAAATGTAATTGGAAATAACTGAGTTATTTCCAAACAAGACAAGAATCCCTATTAAGGTCCCCGACGGCAAAACTTGTCAACACAACTATTGACCTGACGGACGCGCGAGCATCATACGCTGCAACTTGTCATCACTGCATGTTGACGTCAAAATCCCCAGGGAATAAAATTATGATGTACTATAAATCATTGCACTTCACAAACAGACACGTTTTCTATGAGTGGATCCATCGGTTAGGTTAGGTTCGGTCAATTTAGTACATCACCTTTGTGAGGTGAGAAGACGAGAGGACGGACTGTTCTTGTGGTGCTGTCAGTACGGTCTCTGGTACACGTGGTTTGGTGTTGTGTGTACAACAAACTTGGTTTGTTGTACACCGGGCTCTCAGTCATTGCCATGGACTCTTGATGTACAAAATGGACTCTTAAACAGCCTATTAGTCACTGTATCCTTCTGTATTGAACAAATCCACAAGGGCCGTGACGAGGATTCTAACCTGCGTCCGGGAGCATCCCAGACACTGCCTTAATCGACTGAGCTACGACAGGGTAAGCTACGACATCCTTCTGTATCCAACCAAACCCTTTGCTCATATTTTTGGTGTAAGTTTAACCTTCATTACAGTTTGCTTGGCACCTTTCTTTTAAGGTATTCCATTCCTATGCCTCGACCCGTTTGCCTATTTTCAAAAACTTTTAACTTTCAAACCACATTTTCTGTTATACCGTTGATTTTTTTTCATATCCATATTATTTACCACTTTTAAAAATGGATGAAAAGGCAATCATTTATAGGTCTTGTAGTACAGTGGTCTTCGTCCTCGACTCACAATCGAGGATCCCGCGTTCAATTCCCTGGCAGGACAAAAAAGGTTGGGCACGTTTCCCTTCACCTAATGCCGCTGTTTACATAGTAAATCCGTACCCGGGAGTTAGGCAACTGTTATGGGTTGCATCCTGCAGAAGATAAGTAGTTATACTTGGGTAGGGGGGGGAGCCTCGATAAGACTAAGTACAGACTTCCAGTCCTCGACAACGGGAATTATTCCACAATATTCCGTCTCCAAAGTGAGTCCTTAAGAAAGTGAGATGTGTGTGGACACGAGAGAAGGGACAGACGAAGAAAGTGACACAGGTGCTGGTGAAGCTGCAGGTGGAGGAAGGTGAACAGTAGCAGTGATAATGACAGTCACCTTCCTCCTATGTAGGTTAGCTTAGCATTTTAAAAGCACCGAATCACCTTCTGTGGTTGAGTGTTCAATAAACCCTTGAACTTCTGATGTTTAACACATCTCTAACCCTGTCCATGGAGGACAGAAGAAAATGTATATATGCTGGTTAGCATTGTAAATGTGTGGCCACGTCTGTGGTAGAAAATAATAATAAAAAAAAACTTCCTCCTATTTTTGTCTTATTTCGTTATAAAACGAGCTGATTTCCGATTTTTTTTTTTTTTTACGTTCTACACTCGACTACATTATAGTCAGAAAATGTTAGTTACTCAGAGAATAAATGTAAGAGGTTTGGTTAAAAACATGGACCGTGTATGTGTCGTACCTAATAGCAAGATTACATTATTTGGCCTAGTATGCAAGGCCCGATTTGCCTAACATGCAGAGCAATTTTCGTGATTTTCACATATTTCTTTTCAAACCGATTTATTGGAATTACTATTATTATATTAAGAACATGAAATACTAACTTAACTAGGTTACGTTTGATCAAATTTCTATGTTAGTTTTAACTCAACAAAATCATATAATATAATGGAAAGCTATATTATTTCATTATACAAAATAAAAAATAGATAATTTCAGGAAAACTCGGCTTGTTAGGCATCTTGGGGGTATTAGGTACAACATATATACAGAGGAATTATACATGAGTGTGCTAATATATATACATATAGGAATATGTGTCTTGTAGTGGGATAGCTCATATGTGCTTTAAGTCTTACGTCAAGTGTATTTATGGCCTTACACAAAAAAATTCACATAGCAACTGGAAGATTTTTATTTATTCTCAAGATTTTAATAGCGCTGATGTAAACGTCACTCAATTATTTAACCAATCCGCACGCAGCAAACATATTCGTCACACACTGGTTTAGCCAATCAACATTAAGCAGTAAACACGTCACTAGCTTATCCAGCCAATAAGCACCAAGCAGCAGTAGGCGGGAGTGTTGGTGTGATCTGAATACTAAGTGAGCAAGTAACGAGTTTTTTTGTGTGTTTGTTTGAGGTTCATCCTGTTTGATGTTTGTGTTCTTGTCGTTTGATGTGATTGTTTTCGCAGCGGCGTGTCGGTAGCCGGTTTGCTAATAAAACAAAATACATAATAAATAAAGGCTAAAAGAAGTGTTATGCTTGGGCGGGAGGCGTTCCTTTAAACATATTTGGTTAAATATAACCACATTGCTGGCATTATTGATCTTATAGTGTAAGCTTTCTATGCTTCTATTCTCTTAATATCAGCATTAAGAAGCACAATCAAGTTACCCAAATTCATGGTAAAGAAACTAGTAATAATTTAAGGATTTATTTGTTACAATGTTTCATTCTTTTCTGGAACATCTTCGGGTAAAGAATTAATACATGAGGTACAGTTTTGGGTTAATTATTATTATTAACATTTTTATTGACCAAATTAATTACAATTTTGCCTAATCTGAGGATTTCAATAACTTATTAAAGTGAGAATAATGCTGGTATTCACTGTCACAGAGAACAGAGTAAAAAGGTCGAAGGAGTAAAGCGGAAGGAGAGGCATAGGTGAAGGGAAGTTTAGAAGTGGGAAATACAGTG